CTAAGATTCTTTTATTACTGATTTTTTAACTTCATATAGATTTTCAACTCCAAATGTATGTGAACAAAAGCCGTCTTCACATCAAGTTGTTCCATGTACAAATTATCAGCTGCCACAATACAAAAAGTATTTCGAATGATTGTGGATTGAAATCTTCTTTATCATTGATTGTGTCTTTTTCTTCAAGCATTTTTTCTTTTAGACAGCTCAAAATTCTAAGGTCATCGAGGAACTTCGATTGATAGAATAAGATGTTGTGTTGATTTCCTCTGTCCAAAACATCTTTGAAAGATCTGCGTGCTGGTTGAGACTTTAGCCTTTCTCTTAGCAATTCCATTTTGTTGTGGTTCATTGAATACTGTTTGCATCAGCTTAACTCCATGCTCCACACAATGCATCTTAAAGTTGGCTCCATCATAGTCCAATTCCAAGCACTTTAGCTTTTGATCAATCTCATTTTTGACCTCTGTCTTTCACTTCAAATTTGTGTTTGAAAAAGTATATCCATATTTTGCGAGTAAAATTGAGTTGATAAACATGACATAGTACCTCAAGATTCTTTGAAATTAGACAGTTCATCGTCCCACATGTCAATGTGCAAGAGTTTTAATCTATTATTCTTACTCTTTTGCTCGACTTTTGAAAAACTAATACGCTTCTGTTTGCAGAGCACTCAATCTTCATAAAAGTAGGTCCAATCGATTTGATAGCTAGTAACAACACTTTTGATGCTAAAATCTTCAAGCCTATATTACTCATGTGTCTCAAACTCTTTTTCCACAATATTTGATTAGTCTTAGCCGTCACAATTATTATCAAGTCTACAATACTATCAATTGATAGTATTGTAGACTTGATAATAATTGGATGGTATTTTATGAAAAATGCACTTTATACACAACATAAAATGCATTCGTCTTGGTGCCTTGTGCTACAACTATAGCTTTTTTCATTATTCTCCAAGAATCATTCCAAAGATGGCCTTATATCCCTCATCATCCAATTAACCATGAGATTATAACTTTGTCTTCTACCCAAAAATGTAGCGAAACATCATGCAATGTACATCTATAATCATTACTCGACTTAATATGAATATCATCATTGCTTGTAATCTATAAAGGTTTATTATGGGCAAAAAAAAATTCCATATTTTCCATTGAAAGAGGTAGAATGAACAGAAGTACCTGAATCCAAGATTCAAGATTGGATTTGAGTGTCAACACATGAGAGTAGAGCATACTTTGAGTTCTTCTTGGTTGTTGCATTCACCAAGTTGGACTCGTCTCTGTCCTTCTTTGACTTTTTAGTTGCATTACATTCATGCTTCAAGTAATATTTTTGTCACAATTCCTACACTCTGCCTCACCTTTGATTCAAGATTTACTTCATCCTCTCCACTTGGATCTACCTCGGATCTCATCATTTGAAAGTTCCTCACTATTTGCTAATTATGCGATCACGAACATATTCGAGTATCATCTTCTCTTGATCCGAGATCACCTTCACAGATTTGGCTAGCCGTATGGCATAAAGATCAATAAGCAATCTGCGAGCAACTCATCATTTAAGGAATTAATCAAACGGCTTCAGTTGGTTCAAGATATGATTAAACTCCATGTTGGCTACATACTCCGTCACAAAAGCATACTTGACTATATCAAGTTGAAATAGTCGTTGTAGAAGGTAAATATGGTTAAACTCGAGTACTTTTCAAACAAGTCAAACAATCTCTTGATGAATTGTTTCATTGTCGACATGTGAAGTCACATCCATGGATACGATATTGAGAATGAGACCAAGTACACAGCAATCTAGCTTATTCCATACCTTTTTATCATGGTGTCAGGTTTGTTTTCTAACATCTCATCCTTTAATTCTTTGGAATATAACGTATCGATCATATGTACATTTCAATAAACAAAATGTTTGTCATCAAAACATCAAATACCTCTCTTTCTCAAGCAACACTTTTTCCTTCACAAATGTTCAGTTTGAATTTCACATAACTTCCTTGTAACTTGGCTCTAATACCATTTGTAAAGTCTAGGTAGCCGCAAAATAATACAACACAATATTGCGGTGAGCAAGAGGGATTATACAACACCAGAATTGTTCTAAAAAATCCTGGTTTTTCCACAATAGTAATATTTAACCTATTCTCTTCGTCATCTCAGTATCGTGTTATGTTATTCTTCGGATACCTCGACTTCACACTTCATCCAAAATTGAAATGAGAACGAACATTTGATGATACTTTTTCCACAATGTTAATCTTTTATGTACTCTCTCTTCCTCATCTCGATATCGTGTTATGTTATTGTTGGGATAACTCTTTACATTTCATCCAAAATTGAAATGAGAACTATCATTTGATGATGAGTATAGAGAAAAAAACGAAATGTTGATTACATTCCGACAATTAAGGTCAAAGATAGAAGAAGATATCATCCTGAACTACAAGGTCTATACTAGTTGCACATTGAAATACACAGAGTTAATGTAAGTGATTGAACTACGGGAGTAAATTTTTACAGACAACTTTTACCGGATTTGTTATACCTGTAGAAGTTCAAGCACATATAAAACGCAGCCTAATCTCTATCAGGTCACAAAAGGAAACAAGAATGCCTAAGGAAATAAGACTCACTGCAACAACAAAAAATGAGACTACGGTTGCGATAGATTGCAAGAGATATATTCATGAGACTACGATTGCAAGAACAGACTTCTGTAAAAGTAAGGGACAGCTAGACATCCCAGAACATCGTATGCTTTTCCAGTGAATATGAGATCATCGACAATGACCAGCAACAACAAGAAGAACCCGATGTCCCAAAAGAAAGGGGTTCAACGATAGGAGGCCAGCAAGAGCACAAGCAAAATTGAGCGAAAACTCCATCAGAATTCACATAACGACCTCTCATTATTGCCGATAGTCTCCCTCGGTCGAAAGCAAGGACAGATCGTTTCGAAAGAGAGATGAATCATCTCTCTTTCGCTATGCAAGCAATGATCATCTCAGATGATCATTGCTTCTTGGAATATCTAAGGAATCAGTATAAAGGAAGAATGCCAAAGTTCAAGGAATGTTATTGTTTTATTTGGTGCCCTAGCTTCAGTTACAATATCAAGAGTTATATGGAAACACCTTGTCTTATTGAAATCAAATAGCTCGAACTGATTGTCATGTGGTAGACTATACAAACATCGGACGACGATACAGGCAACAGACTGACGGCTGCTTTAGGGACGTCAAGATAAAAAATGATTTCTTGCGGAACAAAAATTAATGGATGAGTCGCTTAGTAATTACCAGAAACTCCATGCGGCGTGACAGGTCTCGTTAACATTCATCACTCTATGATAAACAATGATAAAAAAAGTAATCACTGTGGATGTTAAAAAATCTCTCAGTCAGCAAAATAAAAGATGCAAGGAAGTGTAGAGAGCTACACAAGAGGCAAAAAGCAATGAGAAAACGCTCACGCGAACGAGTCAGCACAATATACATATATATATATAACATATGAAAAGCGTAGAATTTTTATATTATCGCTTAACTGGCGGCTTCCAAGGTGAAAAAATGTGGGAGGAAGGACAACTTATACCATATGAACTGATCCGACATATCAAAGACTCATATAATGCAGGGTCGAAGCTATTACCAAATATAGAGCCGATTCAATCAACTTTATGGAAATACTGAATGAGATGACGGTCAAGCATTACAATATCTATAGAAGGAAGAAATGAAGTAATTGGTACAATTGATGCACATTTCTTTTAACAAACCAGCCGCCTCTAACAAACTAAGGAAGAAAGGAAGTTCGACTTTCATTCTATTGAGCTGACACAAGCAGTAGTTACATGAGCTGCATCAACAGTTATGCTAGATGGAACGTTCACTCCGTATATACTAATATACGTGCCATGGTGACAACGCCAGGATATTTCGATATATAGGGGAGTCACACAAGTGTGCGTATTGGCAATTACTGTTTTTGCCATAGCGTCGCTGTCCTTAATGCAACTGGTGTATGAGAGGGGAGCGGCTAGTAAACTAAGAGACTTTCAAATAAGTGGCACAGAAATTCTTCAAAACCAGTTATTTGCTGATGACATGGGAGTGTTGATAACCAGACCAGCACCTTGTAATCATTTCAAAGTTTACAGCATGGTAGAAGAGTGTAAAATTTTTTATGGAGCCCGCTTCTACATTATAAAATCTACGAAAATTCCTGTTGGTTTACATAGTAATTTTCTTCATTTAGGTTTTCTTTCACTGCGAAATATGCACAATATGTCATGCCCATCCACTTCTATACTCATATCTACCTTGGACACGAAACCGTAGCAAAGAACAACGACATACTTCATTTTGGGAAAATGTAGTTCGGATGAAAAGGGCTCTTGCAGTCAAGTGACAGATTTTACAAGTACCATAGGTTACAGGTACTCTCAATCAAAAGGACTAAACAAAACATATTTCTAGTGATAAAAGATGTGGAAAAATACTCAACTTAAGTCTCTTTGAGTCTTAAGACTCAAAGAGAGTATAATGCTTGCGAAGGAATTCATGATATTCTTGACACTATAAGTCTCGAAAATCTCATGAAATTCTTTGCAAGCATTATGCACTCTTTGAATATCAGGTTGAGGATTTTTCCATATGTTTTACCACTTGAAATCTGACATGATAAATGTGTAAGTTGCTACTTGTCTGACTTTGGTCTAGAATGGAGTTTAATTAACACACTGGAACGTAAAAGAATCAAACCCTCTGCTAGAAATAGTCAAAGTCCGGAAGATGACGAGACATGTTGCTTCGCTGCCTCATTAATCCAAAATACCTGAGCGTTGGATGGCGAGATCAATACAAGATCTCGTTGTTCAAGAGAAATGGACAGAGAAGGAAATGAGTGCATCGAGAAGGATACTCCTTAATAAGTATACTCGTTGAGACCAAAAAATCAGCAACCAGAGAGACATATAAAATATTAAATTACTGAAAAAGCGATTCAAACGATTATGAAAACCTTTCATACCCCATGAAAGCAAAATATTCCTTTGGATTCCAAACACGATCAGCTGAAAGTAGTAAGATTTGCTCGTCTACGTGTCTGCCCTGCCATCCATCAGTGTGCAACTCTCTCGAGGAGACAATATATAGCATAATCTTTGGGCTGTTATCTAACTAAGAGGAAACGTAACTGAAATAATCAAGGCATCGGAGTTACTCCAGCTTCGAGACCAGACTAGGAGTAGAAGCTTCGTATCATACGACGATCGCTATACTCAAGGACCTGAAACAGAAGAAACGCATGGTATCAACAAAAGGCTAAAGAAGCCACTCCAACTGTGACTCGTGTGAGCTGTTGATATGTTGAAAGACCATGCATCCAGCCGGGGAGGAAGCTTTTTTAAAAACAGGAAAAAGCAATTGCGCATGTGAAAAACATCACAATTGGAGTCAAAACGCCACAAGACGTAATCAACAAGATGATGAGTCACAAATGTTTGACATGCTACACAACAACATGCATTTCGGGCTAAAAGATGAGGCAAGAGAGGAGGAAAAAAACCATGCACCTGCATGACTAGAGGACAGCTTCTGGTGAGGTTGGTGCAACGACATACTCCATTCGCCCACGAGCTGGCTGAACGAAGAGAGTGTTGGAAACGAGAACGTCGAAGCAGTGACAAACAAGAAATTCAAGGGAGCGCTGGGGGACGACCTCATGGAGGCGCGACACCCGTTGCGTCGGATGGGCCGACAGAGTTCAAGTTGCGTAACGCCCTCGAGAGTCAAATGCACGTAGCACGTCACTTCCTACAAGTTGGCGTTATGAACATTTTTTTCCCAAATATAAGTAGATATAGAAATGAACAAGGGTACCAAGTAAATATATAGCACATTTTGGGGAAGAATCCGAAATGTTGTCCACGGTGGAAACCAAAAGGCTAAGATGGAGCTAGGTCAGAAAATGATCACATTGGGAAATATGTCATGATGCATATAAGATATTCTAATTGTTCAGATCAAAGGGTTTGCATATTTTACTTACATAAATTTATATCATTGAATACAATGTATATCATTTGTTTTAGTTTTGGAGTCGTTTTAGATGACCTAAATGAAGTACTTTGGGAGGGAGTTTTGCACCCTTTGATGGTACTCTTGTGCAGTCACAAACATATTAAAGTTAGTTTTTTTACTTTTAAAATAGCCAAATCTAAAGAAACAAAGAGATGATGTCTTTGTCATTTCACTTGCCTTCCATCATAGAAAATGTTTGATCTTCGTCATCAAACAATGTGAGTTTTGTGCTCAACGTGTATACAACATTAATATATACTTTCAATTTAGCTATAGATATGTCATAACCCTATCCAGTGCAAACATATATACATTCTTATTTATATTGAACATTATGTTCCTATATACGTCATGTGATGATTTTCAAGTAATGGTGTCACTCTCATCAATGGATTTTCTTTATATCCATATGGCCTCACTTTTGATTGTCCAGAGAATAGTATAAATTTTATGGCATCTAAAGTACTCAGAGCATTTGATGAGAGTAAGTGACACAGATACATTTGGGTTAATTCAAACCATGACAAACCCTCATTGCTTTTAAATATTGAAAGAAGCCACAGTACTTAATTGAGCAAAGCGTAAGAGTGAGAACATAGTGAATCTAGCTTAACTGATTGACTGAGGGAGTAAGAGAATGAAAACTCAAGTCATATCTCTACAAAAGTAATTATAATTATATATATAATTATAGTATTGTGATGAAAAGAATACATTTAGAAAATAGATAAGTGGTTAACTTCACCGGTGGAATTCATTCATCAACATTTCATGTTAGATCGAATTTGTATGTTTTAAAGTTGATCACCAGGTACAGTAAGTTATAACTTGGTTGGATTGCAAAGTATGAAGAGACTGGAAAGACACTAATATCGAGAATGAATATAGAGTGCTGGCATTATGCAATATTATAGAAGCAGTCATCGTACCGAGTTAAAATTGGATACACATATGTGAATTATATAAGTCAAGTATTCAATAATCCCTTAACGCCATAATTCCGATTAACTTGACAGGTGCTCATGGGGTAAAATTAGAATTGTAAAACCTATCGGTGTCGGTGTTAGTTTAGAACTTCTATAAACTCTACTAGGGCTGCCTCTTATCAGAAAAACATAGAATAAGTAAGATAGAATTCAACTCTCCAAAACTCTATAGCTGATTTTTTAATTCCTATAGCCATGATACGAGGAACTGAAGTAGGACACTAGGAATAAAATCAAAACCTGATGCAGCCAAAAAGGGGAAAAATGTAGTTTTGGATATGGTTTGGAGTCCAGACAAAAACAGATGGCTGGAAACCACATCCATCCCATCACCACTATCGGTACGGAGTCAGAGATACGGTTCACGGACATTGACCGAGATCCAGATGATGATGTGTCTTTGGACTCACTCCGTCCTGTTGGCGGTGTGCGTTCAGGTTCGGGCAGCTCTGTCACTCTAGAATCTTCTTTCGAGGCGCGGCATAGATTCTTCTGGATTCTGGAGTAAGGAATGCTCGACGACTCCGAATTCGGAATGTATGAATGAGTGATACCGTCCAGAGGGACCTGCCGAGGGATTGACAATGACGTGTTACTTTCGGATTCGGGTCTAGTCGGTTAGAGGATCTTCGGGGCAGTGCAGTCATTCATATTTATCCCATTGTGATGCTGTTGGGCCTAGCGGCTAGGCCCTAGCCCCGTCCCGCCCCTCCGCCCGGATCGGGGCTTTCCCTTCGTTTCTGCTACATTCCTCGAATTACACGAGCTTGTTGTTGATTCCTGGCGGATTCGTCCTCGTGTACACATGGCCATGGCCGTCGAGATTGTAAGTTTGGTGGGCTGGTATCGTCATGTGCGCGAGTTAGGAATACGTTTCTCGATCTATGATGGTAATTGGAACTATAAATTATGTTTACACTAGTGGAATTTTGTAATAGACTATATTTCGCACCACAAAAAAATTCCCTCCCAGCTGTCGAGGGAAGCCCTCTCGTCTCCGAATTTGCTTATGTGCGGAAAAGACGAGACCAGATTCGGTACTTCTTCATGTACGGAACGCTCTTCGTGTCGACGGGGCTTAAGCCAAGACTCTGTGGTGTTCGGACTATAACTGGCTGGCAAGCGGAAGTGACTGCAGTCGTCGACTTGGTGAGAGTACATTTCGTCTGTGTTGTTCCTGGGGCTTTCATAGGTTCGTGTTGTATCCCATGGTGCAGGAACTCTGGCAGGTCGTTTGCTGTTTGATAAAGAACAAAGTCAGTTGGGTTAGAAGGGTAATGGATGAGAAACGAATGATAAGAGCTTCTACTGTAGTTTCTTGATGAAGCCACTGTTGAAATCAGGAATCAAATCGACAGACAAAGATTTATTTATGTCGCGCACTTTGGAATGGTATATGTGTTGTTCTTTGGAGGCGTGTTCCAGCGTTGTGTCCCGATTCATCACCCTCGAGCGCCTAGGATTCGAAGCAAGAAGTTCATGCTGCAATGGAGGAGTTCGTTCCAAAGTGCAAATGTGATGCCTTTACAAGTAAAGGCAGCTGCGCTTTTGTTAGGGGCTTTGGCTTTGTGCCTTTTTCTCCCATGCGTGTATTGATTCCGCCCTCGAACCAACATGATTCCTTGATTATGATATACAAAGATTTGGGTATACGCAAGAAAGAAAAACTTTCAGTGCACAAGTTTTGGTCTATCAAAAATTTCTATTCTGATGTGGGTTGATGTGAGTTCAGGAGAAAGTGAGCATCGGCCGAAGATTCAAAAATATTGTCTAGTAGAAAAGATTTCTGTGAGATAGAATCCTTCTGCATCACCGCAAGTTTTGACCTATGAGAGCAGAAAGTGGCACATGATCGTAGCGCACCAAACCCTGCGAGATGAGAGAGGCTTATGCAGAAAATAATAGATGCAACCATGTCTTGGTATCTCAAATCTATCTTATTGACTTCGGCCATTGGTTGTTGAAAATTTCGAACCTGCTCATGTATACAATAGTGAATTTTGCAAGTGTGCAAGCACGGCCAAAATGGCTTGTCAATGATCAGTTTTTCTAAAGTAGATGAGAGGATCATCACCTGGAGGGATTTGCAAATTTTGTAGTTCACCCACTCCGAAGTTAAAGGGAAAAAAGGAGACCACGATAAAATACAATTACTATGTAGCTCCTCCGGGCCGCCGAGGAAGGAACTCTTTCCTCCAGCGACGTCGACAGCCCACCAGCAAACAAAGGTGGTGACAAATCTGATTCTAGGAACCCGAGTTTCTAGTGATTTTGAAATGAATTGAATAAGCTACAACTCAAGGGGCGGAAGTCCAGCAGCCGGATTTTGACTGAAAACTAGACATCCATCCAGAGCGATTTTTTTAATTGCCTTCAACATGGTCTGCCAAACAACCTTCGTCGAGTAGCAGAAGGAGCGATGAGGCTGCATCAGAATCAAAGTGCACCTGCCACCCCAAACTCCAACGAGACATAGCAGGTGTGGCAAAAAGCAGTTCTCTTTCCACGTATGCGTTTAAAAATCCTTTTCCACAAATCGGAAGTTTATGTATCCGGTGAGCTTCCGTGATTCTTTATGCAGTTAATCCGCGAGGAGTAACAGTTAGCGAGCTTCGACAGCGCGGATGTCTTGATTAGGGCAATTTGACGGTGGAAATGTACCAACACTCATAGTTTATGCCTTTCTGGGAGTAGGAGATTCTTATACTCTATATAGTAATGTAATGCACCGTGGCCGACATCAGACGAGCCTCTGATTCCTCACCGGCGTGAGCGGTGAATTTTGAGTAAGGTGGCATCTCTCGCCCAGATGGCGGATTGGCACCTGCTGGAACAGGTGTGGAGAACAGTGGGTGGGGAAACAAGACTAGCGTGAGCAAAAGGCCGGGAAGCAAGACGAGTGACATGCTCGAAAGTGACAGATGATCGGTAAAGAGACTGGGGGCAGATGAATGAATTACGACAGGAAATCGAGAACTTAACACTAGCTGAAGGTGTCAGACGCTGCGACTGTCGGGACGATCGTGCGCGTCTGAATTTGAGACTCATAAGGTGGGAAATTGCTCATGCATGCATCCCTCATTGTTATTTGAACATGTCTTTGCCTTCCGAAGTTCGTGTTGTTTCACAGACTTCACCCGCGAGTGCGCCCTTAAGAGGAAGAAGTCCGACTTCGCGTCAGTAGCAAATGCATTTGGCTCCTGCAGTTTAGGGTTTAGCCTCTGCGTGAGAGCCCTATGGAATAAGGAATAACGGGCTACTTTTCGCGGCGAGGCCAAGTCACTCCAGGTCGGTAGGTATCGAGGCTCCACTCCAGCACGAACGAAGACTACGCTCCAATTGCTGTTTTTCGCCGTCACTAGTATCACGAGCCTTAGTCTGAGCGCGAGTTTCGTTCTGTACAGATTCAAGATATTGAGTTGGAACTTTGTACAAGATTGGAACGAATTGTCATGTCATGAATTTAATTTCGTCGTTTCAGCTTTCTCGATGGTGATCAATCCGAGCATACAACATTCGCATCTTAGAATCAGCAAGCGATGCAAAACGCACAATCCTGAGCAGCGTCCGAGCAGCGCCTTTCATCATGAACCCGAGCGGACCTTTCGGGGCGTTCAATTCGGTCATGTCTCCATTCGCGGAAGTCGTCGATGACCGGTTAGTGAAAATGCAGCTCGTGTGCTCTCTGTGCTGCGAGAGGCGAACGAGCGTCAGCATGGAAACGATGGCGGACACTGGAAATCACTCGCCGCGAAATTCTCCTTCTTGGGATTGCACCGAAGCTCGTCGTCGTTGAGATCGTTGATTTGCTGTGCTTTGCATTTCCGACTTTTCACTCGCTTTCTCTTGGTGGGCTCTGAATATTCACCCTACAGGGCAGGATCCCGTCCGAAGGCCATTTGCTCGGCGCCGGGCAGCCTGGCCTCGGATACGGTGGCGGACGGGTTTGAATGAGGTCCATGTTGCTGCTGCGATGCGCGGCGGCGATGGGGAGGACGCTCGGGGCGTGGAGGCTTGAATGGAAGCTGTGACCGCGGCCTCTAAGGATTTCTCGTTGGGCGGGTCGAGCCTCGGGCCTTGGGATCTGCTGCTGCTTGGGGAGTCTAGGTGGAGGGAGGGAGGGATGGCGCACGACCAGGCCATGGACGGGTTCTCACAAGAACCTCAGCGGAGATCGGAGATTTACACGTACGAGGCTCCGTGGCTCATATACGGGATGAACTGGAGCGTGCGGAAAGATAAGAAATTTCGGTTGGCCATCGGGAGCTTCATCGAGGACTTTCGCAACAAGGTGGAGATTGTGCAGCTGGATGATGAAACGGGTGATTTCAAGGCTGATCCGAAACTCTCGTTCGATCACCCGTACCCCACGACGAAGATAATGTTCATCCCCGATAAGGAGTGCCAGAAGCCGGACCTGCTGGCCACGACGGGCGATTATCTGCGAATATGGCAAATTACCGAAGACCGCGTGGAAGCCAAGAGCCTCTTGAATAACAACAAGAACAGCACATTCTGCGCGCCTCTCACTTCCTTCGACTGGAATGAGGCGGAGCCGAAGCGGCTGGGGACGTCGAGCATCGACACGACGTGCACCATCTGGGACATCGAGAAGGAGGTCGTGGACACGCAGCTCATCGCGCACGATAAAGAAGTGTATGACATCGCTTGGGGAGGTCCGGGCGTATTCGCATCGGTTTCTGCGGATGGATCCGTCCGGGTGTTCGACCTACGGGACAAAGAACACTCGACGATCATTTATGAGAGCCCGATTCCCGACACGCCGCTTCTGCGCCTGGGGTGGAACAAGCAAGACCCTCGATACATGGCCACCATTTTGATGGACAGCTCCAAGGTCGTCGTTCTAGACATCCGATTCCCCACCCTTCCGGTTGCAGAGCTCCAGAGGCACCAGGCCTGCGTGAACGCCATCGCATGGGCTCCTCACAGTCCATGTCACATCTGCACAGCAGGGGACGATTCCCAGGCGCTAATTTGGGATTTATCCTCAATGAGCCAGCCCGTGGATGGAGGATTGGACCCCATTCTGGCGTACACTGCAGGGGCCGAGATCAATCAACTACAGTGGTCATCGACGCAACCTGATTGGGTCGCCATTGCTTTCGGGAGCAAGCTCCAAATTCTACGAGTGTGATCACGCTTTCTATCTTCACTCTACTTTCGACATCCGCATTTTCGGCATTTCCGGGACCTTCAGTGGAGCCAGAGTGTGTGAAGACTTTTATCTTCTTCTCGCCCAGAATCATCTGTAGAAAGCGTTGGACGAGATAGATATGAGCTTGTAGCAATAGACAGACAGACACATGTGGTGCGAGGCCTGGATGATGCCCAATGTTTGCCCAACTCGAAGCTAGCGTGTCGGTGTTCTCCATGGCTCAGAACTCGAGAAAGGCAGGCCTCCATCCCCGTCCAAGTTGTAAATAAAAATATCTTGTTCCGCAGTTCACATTAGTCCACCGGCTTGGCGATGAAAACATTCTGAATTCCGTGCTTGTGACATCGAGATCTCGTTGTCTTCGTAACGCCTGCAGCTGGAAAGAGTTAAACAACAAAGACGTGATTGAAGTGCAGCCATGGGAAAATAGTCCAACTGTTGTATGCCTGAGCTACACAGTTCTAGACTATGCAACTTTTTGTAGGACCTGGATTCTCGGCAGGGGAGGGAAACTCCTGGCTTTGGGTCAGTCAACATTTGGGTGGATTTGGCCATGGCTACCAGAACCGAGTACAGTACTGCCATGTGGTAGTATCACCTTGCAAAAAATTTAGCGAGTTTCAGGGTCCTTTAAATTTTGGAGAACTCTCCACCCTGCTACTTCAATTGAACCAATAAACGTGTTACGCGAAAGATCCTAAAGTTTAAGAGCCATAATTTTGTTGCCGGAATATGATTCCAGCTTGAACCGTTGTTTGGTTCTAAAGTTCTAATTGGGTTAACGGAACATTGTTGGAATATTGCAAGTTTGGCCCAAAACTTTAGGATTTAAGTTTGAAATCTGACATCAGAGTGAGATATGAGCCCCAAACTTTGGTTAGGGATCGTTGGTCGGGATTAGTATTTTATGCAAATGTTATGCATGTCTCATAATTCTTGCAGTCTAGAAAACTTACAAAAAGTATCTCAACAAAGTATCGAATATGATATGATACGATCTGAAAGTTTATGCGGTCTAATTTGATGCTATAATATTACCCAGGTCTCAGAATTGATCTGAAGTCATCACAGAACAAAAAAATTGACGATGGTTCCATCGATCGGGTTTGAAAAGAGTCTAACATGTGCAAATCAGAAATTACAGTAGATTTGCACATCCATGTTTACTTCATACAATACATAGAGCACTTAACTTGACAGTAAAGTGCTCTGAGTCGAAACATGTAGTGAACCACGTACTCTAGTTACTCCTTGATCTCATAGCTAAAGTACTTGTAGAGAAACAAGAATCTAAATATCTTGTTCTTTTCTTTTTTTCAAATAAGGTGTTTTCGGTGTGCTTAAAGACGCTGTTACAGCTAGCATGACATGTACAACTGCTTTAAAAGATTCAAAGAAAGAGTCCGGTTGTTTTCTCAATTACTCTAGGATTCAGTGTAAACTAGATAATTAATGAACTCCACATCTTTGTAAATGCCTGAAATACTTACTAGCTCATCTCAATCTCATCTCATTTCAGACATGAGATGAGCTAGTGAGTATTTTATGGTAGGGCAACGAGACGTATGCCACTTGGTAGAGCCAGTGAAAAATAACATACAGTAAGATATTCGAGTGAATACAGTAGGCAGCAGGATGTAAGGTTTCTTTAACATATGAAATGAGTTTCTTTGACGTACTGAAACAGCTTGATATCAGAGATGTATTATTGCCTTCAGAGATTCCAAGAAAGTTGTTGACACTTAGAGAAGTCTCTTAATTTTTGTCTTTTCTCTATGTTTCATAGTACACTCCATAATTCGTCCAATCCACAGTCATGCAGATGTTGACTTCGGACTTCCTGAATGACATGGAGGTAGTGAGTATAGTCGGTAGGGCTAGGAGACATATGACACGTAGTAGAGCGGGTGAAAAAAAGCACAGTTGAGTATAACCACTGAGTACAGTAAGTAGCAAGATGTAGGACAGTGAATAGAACTAGAGTAGTACATCAGCTATTGTATGTCTTTGTGGTATGTAATGTAGACAAAATATAACTTTAGCAACTTTAGGATTGTTTTACTCTTCTAGTGTTTATTTGCTTTAAGTTCCGGTATCTCTACATAAATTTTGAGTTTTATACCATAGTGTGCACATTATCATTTTCGTTAGCATATTGCCACAACACAGAGTGGAACCATGGATGAAGATGAGATAGTTCCAATAGGTCAAAATCCTTGGAAAGAAAGTTATATTGATCAAATTCGAAGAGTGGAATCGCAACCAATTTTCAAGATCACCAAATAGAATTGTTCCTTAATGGGCTTGAGATCAGAATTCAATTTGGTGATGACATATGAGCTCCACGTGATATCTCGTTCTCTCATGCTGAGCTCTGAGGAGACATAGATCCATCAGTTTTGAAACACATGGTTACGTACGCAAAGTGCTTCAGTTAAGAATTGATTGCGGCAACTCGAGTAATAGATTTATCACATTTCACGCGATTTATTGAAAACAAGATGTCTTTAAGTTTATTCTCCGTGTTTAATTTACCTTTTCAATGGATATGAACTTGTCCACTGAAGGATTGTAGGTTCATGGATATTTTTCATTGGTCAATATTGAGTATTCAGGTTGGCATATTTCGGTACAAAGTTTTAATCAGATGACCTATGTCAGGTTGTCACCTGCAGGAACATTATCTTTCATGCTGCCGAGCTGATGAATTTTGTGCTATTTGTCAAAACAGTGTAGAAGAATGTCGGGTGGAAAGGAGCGAAATCTTTCACTTGCTTTGGTAGCTTCTGTGAGGGTTCAAGAATCTGGCTCTTCATGAAGATGCAATTCGGTTATGTTCAAGAGTCATGATTGCATCAGGACGAAGGTAGAACGTGAAATGATACGTAGATCAATTTTGATTGTTGAAATGGTTGACTATAAAAATGACTTCATTGCAACTGGCCCTTTCCCTTTTAAGTTGGGAAAAACATATTACGCTGAACTTCGTCCCTTGTCAGTATGGTCAATTATCATACTAAGGTACAGAAATAGTCAGACTTTTCCGCTTCTCGGCTTCAGTCTGTAGCACGGTCTTTAGCATGCTCACGTCATACTAGACGAAAAAGCTTCCTCGTGGTTTCGGGTTTAGAACAGTTTTTTTTTTAATTCCCAGTTCTACTTAACAATGTATAATCTGTTTCCCGAGAGCTCAAACTGGATATCACAATCATCAAGACAGTAAAGACTAACTGATTACGAGTGTATGTAAAAAGTGAAAAGTGGCCGCATAGTTTACAAAGAACAATGGTAAACAACATATGACAAGCAACAATAGAAGGACGAAAGGACAAAGATTGACTATGCAACCTGGCTCGAACGCAAAATAAAATAGAGTTTCACAATCTCACTCTCAATTTAAACGGTTTTCATTTCCATGAACGTATCCACGATTACAATGAAAGTCACGCTTGGAAGCAGCGTAATATCCTAGTTTACAGAACTTCTTCACCACAGAATTTGACTTCAGACTGCGCCCCACCGGCTACAGACCTGGAGTAAGACCATGGTGGTAGAAGTTGTACCACTCTCGGTTCCAAGATCAGTCCAGTCAATGTCCGGCCTTTCAACATTCTCCTACACTTGCGACCTGTAAAGAGCTCTGTATGTTCCAAAAACTAACAAGCAATTGTTTGGAATGCTCCGGCTGTGAAACGGAGCAGCAGTCGTGTACTACACCCTGCTGTTACTTCAGAGCCTCGATTACTGCAGAAAAATCGTCATCACCGCGACCGTCCTTCTTTGCGCGCACGAATAGTCCGTTAGCAGCTGCAGCCACGGGAATTTCTTGAGAAACTTCCTCAGCCAGAGCGATAGCCAATCGCAGATCCTGCATGCGGAGGTCAAAAGTTCAATACTTGGAGTACAGTCACGCTGGATCTGGCTGAGTCTTGACAAATCCAGGAAAGCTGATCTTAAACCTGCTGCGACGACACTGTTATATACTTGTTTGAGCAGACAAATGTTAAGCAAGAGATGCCTGAGTGTAAAGTTCGCCCACAACTTGGAGACAGAATTTATACCTTTTGCTGATGCTTGAGTGGGAACGCTGGAGGGTATGCACTCTTCACCATGGAAGGTCCTTTCATTGCAAACATGGGTGCATTTATCGCACCTTGACCGATTACCTTTACGCAAGACACATAGATACATGGAAGTCAATTACAATGTCATACCAAGGACAAATACTGCAAGTTGCTAAGAGGCTTACAACAGGACAAATGCTCTGCATAACAATAGCAACATTTACCTGGACGATAGTTTCTGGGTCAAGTCCGACCTTTTCTCCAAGAACCAATCCCTCTGAGAACGAAGCCATCATACTGCAATACGGAAAGCGCTCAAGCATTCTCGATCAAATCTTCAACACACAAGATTGAGTAATTGTAGATACATGCATCCCAAAAGTGGCTAGCAGTTGCAGAACATTTCCTTTTGAATGTCATAGGGAAGGTTACCATCACCAACTACAACTGTATATGCTCCTAGTGAAGCTTGTTGGATGCTTTTGATTTGCTGGTATTGCACAAATATGACGTTTGGCATTCTCAAAAACTCATCACCCCGTATCAGTCAGTAAACCTCGTAAAGTATGAGAAATGAATATCACCTGCCCATAACCATGTTCACCACAAGCTTCATGGCTGCACCTTTTCCTACATCGCCGAGGTAGAATCTTGACTGCACGTAACCGTTACAACAAGCAGTAAGCAAGGGACCTTAATCACGAAGTACATCAATTTGAAGAAAATAAATGCATCTAAATGAACAGCGTGGACGTAAAACATCTGTTTCACACAACTCAACGCAAGGAAATGGTGTAGAAGCAGACCTTGCCCATGACATCTAGAATCGGTGATGCTTCGTCGTAGAGTGCTCTGTCCCCTGCTCAAAACAGAGGAAATCCGAGATAATCAAAATTTATTTCCTTCTAGAAACATGGGTCAATTAGAGGCAGCACAAGCCATAACTTGTCTTCATGCAAGTCTTTCCTACATTGAAATAAGATGGACAAAAGACGTCATTGAGCGAGATATTTTTGTAAGATGGTATTCTTGCCACATAACATTTCAACTGTCTTAAACTCCCTTCGTGAAGGATGTCAGCATCTTTGTGGCTCTTACCTGCTGTCAAGAATATGAGGGTACCATCTTCAGCAGGCTTTTTCGAACCAGATACAGGAGCCTGCTTCAAAACTTTGAATTTCAGGCAAAGATCAATTTCAGATGAACATCCTCTCAATCAAATAGCTGACCCCAGGCATATCTATTACGGAACTCCTATTGACCCATTCCAGAAGGGTCATCAACAACCTTCGATTGGGTGTCTTAACATGCTGTAAGACTTTCATCGGAAGAAAGTTTTGCCATAAGACTCTGGTCTTTAGTGATCAATTGGAAATCAGGTGTATAATTATTCACAAGTTTGATAAATACACATCTGACTTCCAACTGATCACTAAAACTAACCGCTTTAAACAAAAACAATACCTCAAGAAACTGTGCCCCTGTAGCTCTAACAGCCTCAGCAATCGCTTTGGAGGTTTCTGCGTCAACTGTCGATACGTCCACGTATCTGTTTCAAATATTGCCTTTAGTTTAGACGAGCCATGTGACAAACAGTAATAATCATTTCGCTATTCAGAATTTCCCGATTTGATTCTTATCATTTAGAATCAAGGAGTTGCCATAGCAACGGAAGCCATGATGAGTACAATCTCCGGATGAGTACATGGCTAGAGAATGAAGGGAAGTCACAAAAGACTAGAGAAATGACTATAGTATCACATACGAAACCTGTTTACCAGCACTGTAAACACATATACAGAAGTACAGATAGACGTATTTCACCATGAAATACGTCTATCATGCATGCATACATCCATCAAGAAACAGCATTACTCTTGCGTCTAATAAATCGAAGATAAAGATAGATCACTGACCCCTTGTTCGGTCCCAGTCCTTTGACCACACCATCCTCGCCGAGAGCAACTGCAATCTGCAAATGAAAGGTAATTCCAGGTTCTAGTTGAATATTGAGGATGTTACAGAAGCAAAGCTATGACAGTGTTTCCGTATTGCAAGTCTAACACAGTAGCATTCAATTGAGTCCATATGAAACAGACGAAAAATTGTGCAAAGTTTGGCATACCGCGGCGGCTGGATCAGCAAGCATTCCGAAAGTGATGTCACATGCAGCAGAGGTCCCTTTAGGAGATGCCCCAAACCTGTAGCACGGAGTATGAATTTTATAGTTTATATAGAAATCAAACTATAAACATACTCGCGATCGCAAGGGGTCCATCGTGTATATTTAACCCGGGTTGTCGCAGAGCCCAAAGAACAATGACGTGATCGAATAGATGTTGAACAGGTGCCCGGACAGACCTTTGTCAGATTTTGACTAACACAAGGAGAGAAAGTAATAGCAAGTACAGCTACTAGTATCAATGTAAATGGAGTCAATATTCAAATGTCTAGACACCTGTCGTCAACATGATGAAAGCGAAAACAGAAAATGCAGGTAAACAAGATAAGGAATACACGGCAGGGAACAATGAAGTAACAACGTGTAAAACTCTATATAATGGGCTCCTGTCATCACAAGATGAGTTTAACATCTTCATGGTCCCACAGATAAAAGGTGGTTAAAGGACAGTGCTGCATCCGATAACCTTTCAAAAGAATTTGCTGCAATTGAAATATCCGAGATTCCAATTCCACAGACCAGCTGGTTTCACTACACCCGTTGCCTTCTAGACAGCTTAGAAACTACTCCACGCTTTACCCAAACCTCAGCAGTGAAACATCAACGACGACTTTGAAGTTCCGAGAGCACAACACTTACTTTGCCCCCTCTTTGACAAGAGCATCACACTTGCTTGGACTTCTGTTCCACACCGTCACATCGTACCTGTGAAAAAGAAGCAAGTTCATTGAGATACTGGAACGTCCATCACAATGTACATAAGAATGCAGATCAGGAAGTCAGTCAAGGTAAGGAAGTCAAGTATGTCCAGGAAGGAAGTGAAGCGGATAAGCGTGCTCTTTCCTCCACGGAATTCAGGTCCAAAGCACCACGTGTGCTCAAGCGAGATTGGCTTACCCTGCCTTGACGAGATTGCGTGCCATAGCGACGCCCATGATTCCGAGTCCAAGAAATCCAACAGTTGGTTTCTTCTCCGATGACTCTGCTCCAAGTTCACAAGTATAATTATGAGCGTCATCTCTTCAGTCGAGTTAAGAGATATTCAAAACTGTCAAAATTCTAACTCGCTTCGAATCCGCCTGGGCCGAAAGCAAAGGGCTCATGAGCTGCATCCATGGCGTCGCTCTCCGAACGAAAGGTTCACACCGCAGGTCTCGAGAGAGAAATGAATTCGACGTCCGAAAGCCAAAGTCGCAATACAAAAATGGAAGCAATTCTCAATATATCGTGAACAGCATTTTCGAGATCGGCACCACTACCTGCTTCCGCGCTGGCGCTGGCGCGAACACCGAAGCATCGACGACATTGATGCACGACAGGCGAATTCCCGGCGCCCATGCGAGACTGCAATTGCCCGGTCAGAACGAAATGCTGTCGCCCTCCGCGCAGAGTCACCAACGTCGCACAACGCTGGGCTCCAATTGTCGGCGACGGCAGCAGCGCCATGGAGCGCAGCAGCAGCGGAGCGCTCCCGCGCGCCACCATCGACGTCGCCATCTCCGCCCGCTGCCTGCCTGCCGATCAGCCCGGGCCTTCGATCGATAGGGACACGCTCCACGCGCTCTGGACTGCACTGAGCTGCGCTGGTCTAGACTGGACTCGCTAGAATCATCTCGAGCGCTTAACGCATTTGAATCTAGTTCGAGGGTCACGGGATGCGAGTGCGACTGCCATGGATGGCTCACATGATCGAACAATCGGCGAGCTAGATTTCTGTTATCTTGTGTTGTTGCTGTTAGTGCTGATGTTGTTCCTGAAGGAATCTGAGTTTGACAGTGGCGCTCAAGTACACTTTTTTTAGGAGAGTAGATGTGGCACCCTTACGCTCAGCTCAGGTCACTCTTCTTCGCTCTCGTCTGAAGGCTCTTCGATCTTTGATTTATTCCTTTCTCTATCCATTGCTCTTCTTCATCTGCTCCGGTCCTATATCTTGCCATCTTCGGTTCCATCAAAAATATGTTTACATTTTGAAAAGAATAAAACTGATTATCTGATGTGAACGTTTCCGATCCAACCATCTTTCATATTGCAGTCACAAACGAGACAAAAAAAATGTTTATTCCAACCAATTTTGGTGTTGAAGTTCATGCGTCCTAGCTTTTGAGAATTCCAGTCGAGGTTTTCCCTTCTTCAAGATCCTTCGTAACAAGAAAAATCCTCGCTTAAATAGTCTTAAACAATCTCATCTCAAGGTTTAAGAAATTTTTCGAAGAGAAACACATGGTTTTGAAATACACAAAATACTCCACATAAATACTTCTGGGGTAGAATATAAATAGGCTCAAAGAATAATCAATCGAGTTTGAATAGATGTAAGAATGAAGTTAAACAATAAGCATATAGGTAATCGATTAACACAATTGATCCCAGCTTCTACATAACATTGATGTGTATGAAAAGTGAAAAATTTTATATGATTGAAGTGTAATGTGATCGCCTCTTTTGATGGGACGCAGGACGAGACGAAATTAAGACAAGTGACACTTCTGTAAGACTAACTTGTGTCTCAGAGGATTTACAATCTTGTCCGCTGCCTGTAATAGGTCTCACTCGGTCGAAGTGTCAGTTAACGGTGGTCTATCTAGCTCTGACCCAACTGTGGAGTACGTAGGCTTTTTGCCGTGCTCTTTGACATCTTTCGCTCTTTCAGATCATTCCAGGTTTCGGTGCAAAAAATGCATGCAGCCTGACGAGCCCTTAGATGTTCAATTGTGGTACTTATGTTCCATTCTTCAAAAGGCTTGTCATAAAGTCCAAACGATATCCTAGTTGTGGTAACTTCGTAGCTACAGGTTGACTTATTCAACTGACGAAATGAGAGGTCGTAAGAATGAAACTTCGTTCTACAACACGGAGGCAGGAAAGATTTTGTACTGTACACATCTTATTCCAGGTCACTAATTACACTAATCGCTGTTCTGATAGAGCAGAACGCCAGGAGTGGTGATCCACTTACGAGAAATCAATCTTCTGTCAATTTTGGCTCCAAAGCAGACTGTTCAAGGAGACAACCTGATACTCCATGGGATTCTATACCAGTCGCAGATCGGTGCTCCTGGCTGGATGGCTGACTAAATTCTAAAAAAAAGAATCTGTGGGGATATCACATATCTTGTTGGTCCCCGCTCATCTTAGAGTTGTCGGCCACTTCTGTGAGATTTCGATGAGGTGAATTGTAGTAATGAGACTCGAGCTCTTGCAGAGACGCTGCTATCTGGTCTCCAACACCAACAAGCAGCTGTTCTGTATCGTCACTGAGCTGCACAAACTTAGCGCTACGCTTTTCGATGTGTTCATTGAGAACAATAAAATCAGAAAAGACAGCTGTTTGCTTAAGTTCAGATACCAGCTTGAGGAGTGAATCTGCTGCTTGAACCTGATACAGTTGATATTGTTTAGAAGCACTGAAATATACATGGAAAAGACTATAGAAAACTGCAGTCCCAACAAAAGAGTCATAAGGTAATGTCCATCGTTGATGATCAAGCAGCACAAACGCCTATATAAGAACACGTTATAAACCATACAAAAATCAGAATTACGACAGACGGCTCTTCAGCTATCATCCTAAATCTAATCCGAACGCGTTGTTCCAAACCAGTTCGAATTCTCATATATCACAACATTCGACATGAGAATACGTCATCAATCGTTCGAACACATGGCACCTGACAAGTACTTGACTGTAAAGCGGATTCAACTCACTTCGGACGAGCAAGCTTCGCTACATAATGGCAACATAATAAACGAATCTTGTCGATACTACGTAGCGAGGCATTCTCTCCTTCCGAAACTTGACGCATCAGTCAAGTGAGCTGAAACAGAAGAGGAGCCTTACCACTCTGGCTGCGTGAACTTCCATTTGAAAGGACTCCTGAGAATTCCTGACGGGGTCGTTTACCTGGAACACAGTTACAAAATTAAAGGCTAACTGAGAGAGCTTGTTTGAATAAGACTTCGTATATACATCATCAATTCACTGTGATCATCGATATGCAATGCGGTAGCCTACCGATAATGTAATGACCTCTGTCTGATACATAACGACGCCGGAGAAAAAAATGAGAAAAGTCAAACAAGGCCTTTAAAAAACAGTGCTGTGAGTCGAGCTAGTCGAACAACTACTACTCGGACTGAGGAGGAGGAAAAAAAGAAAACGAGGGTACTACAATTGCTGGCGAGAATCTCACTACTCCTACAATAATACAATGTATGCCTTTGAAGCACAGGATACGGTGATCTCTCTGCCTCGAACAGAAACAAACATCCACGTTGGCAGATACTAAAGATTCTGGTGCAAGGAGTGTGATGTATGTATATGCTCTAGGTGAATCGTTTAAAGTGTTGAGTGTACAGATTTTATCACTCTCTTGTGCACAAGGATTGAAAGTCTTACCCTAGCTGCCTTCATCAAGTGACTGAAGTTGTCCAACAGATTTCCGATATCAGCATCAGCTCTTTGTAGCAAAGTTCTTTGTCTTTGTGCTGCAGCAGCTGCAGCTGTGGCTGTTGGTCCTGCCGCTCCTGAATTTCCTACTCCAAACCCTGCCCCACCACCTACACCACCAACCTGGGGACCGCCTGGCTTGTTCATCGTTGAATCCTTAAAACTAACTACATTCAAAGCGTGACGCTACCTGGAATCCGTACCTTCGCTCAAACTATTTAAAACACCCTGCATTACTCAATCCGCAAGCATCCTAATTTCCATACTCCAGATGAGCCCACTAAAATTTTCACAAAACCTCAACACTGCTCTCGGTCACGCCTGGCTTAAACCCTAAATCCCAGCTCATTGTATCGAGTCAAATCCATAATTGTCGATCGGGATATAGATGATTTCGATGAACAGAAAATCACTTGCTTTGATGCGATCATTCTTGACTAATTTTGATAATGTAGATTTAGGCCCTCCACGAGCAATAACCCTCATTGTCAAGCCATCCTCATGTCGAAAACGAGGTTCGACCACCGCTCGTCTGCATGACCAAAGCTATGAGGTCCACCGGGTCAGAAAATATATTGCACTTGCACGCGAGGTGGAGGCACGGATGATCTTGCGACATCCCTCACCATGAGACCTGAGCGCACTGCACAATTGCGTGTCTAATCTCCGAAACTGCACTTCTGGTCTTGGAAGTCAAATCGATGACGCAATCGCCTACCGAGACAGTCGTGATTCGAAAGCAGACAGGCGCGGGAGTCATTCTGAGATGAAAGGGTTTATTTCGCACGTTTGGTTTCTCCTCTTGCCACGTGTTTTCTTGCCTTCGTTATTGATTACGATGATGTTTCAAAGTCAAAATAATGCTCTCACTCCAGCTTTAAATGCAACTCCCAATCTTACCTCTTCCGCTGAAATATAGCACATACCTTTTCAAGAATTTGTCCACGATTAACTAGATTATTGATAATATAATGTTTTTCGAAAATAATTAAGCTAGTGCATTATTTGTAATTTTGAATCATTAATTGACGATAGAAAAAAATAATTGGTTTGAAACTAAGGCACACATATAAAAAGTATACTTGAAAACTAGCTTGATGAAGAAGACATCTTATCACAAACACATATTTGTCCTAGATGGATTTGAACAAATATTATTTGTATGTCTTTGATTTCCATTCTTTGTCAATTTTTTTAATGAGATATAAATAAAACCATGTATGATTTTTAAACTAAATACAAGTCAGATTTCAAGTATTCCAAGCTATTTTGTCAAAGTTGAAAAAATCGGTTCCTATCAAACATAAACTTGATACATGGAGATGAGGAACAAATTCTTTCACATGATGAATCTTAGTTTTCAGTAAAGATAGATATTATTGTGTATCTCAAAAATTGTTGATTTTTATGCAGTAAGAAAATCATCTTGACAAAGATGTGACAAAGAAACTACTTATTAAAATGATTACAAGTAATGTTGATTGCATCATACATTTTAGATGTTAAATGAATTGGTACGATTATACAATGAATATATTTTTACAATACATGTATATTCATATTTAAAATGATCTATGAAAGATTGGGATTTAAATTTCAAAAAAAAATTTAATTAATGATCTATTGACAATTTTAATTTGCTATTAATTTCAAAAAAAATACTAATTTAGATTTATGATTAAATTACCTTGGTACGTTTTATGGTTTACTGATCATTAAATTATTATTCATCTAGATCTTATGAACTATCATTATTTTTATTGTATTTATCCCACAATATGTGTGAAAGATATTGTTTAGTCCAACATAAGCCAGAAAAATATAAATTTCAGACTTTTCACTTAACAAATAGATTACACACAAAATTAAACATATATGTACGTTCAATATATGAAATTAATCAATAGAAGTTTTTTTGGAAAAATATATATTTATTTATTCATTAGTTCATTTGTATTTATTCATTTTTTGATCTTAATTTTGTTTCAACTTGAAGACATCAAACAATAACAACGATAAGTCTTTTAATTTTGAAATTTTTGTCAATTTATTTCTTGAAATCTTTCAAACACAATCCTTTTTCACTCATGTAAGTAATAAGAGCTTAGTGTACATTTTTAAAGAAGCTAAACTCTGCTGTTATTGATAAAAACTCTGAATTTAAATAGAAATTAAAAAATTATTAAAGTTAAAACGTAATAAAAAAACTCCAAGCTATTGTTAACATCATGATTTGCAATCAATAAAATATTGATTTGAACTGTATTATAGCTTATTAAAGATAATAAAAAATAAATTAATTTAATTCTTGAAGTATTAATTTATGTCATTTCACTCCTTTTTGGGATTATTTGTAAATATATGAGTGTTTTTTAAAAATAAAATATTTCATAAATAATCAATATTGATGGTTAATGTACAAAAACTCCATAAAAAAGTTTAAATTTACTTTTATTTTAATATAAGTATTTAAATGAATTGTCCTTGATGTTTAGCTAAATTCAAAACGATATGGTTGGTTCAAATAGTATAATCTCCTCAACATTTTGATATTTCAAGCTTCATCAAATTATAAATTTTATTATATAAACATCTTGCAAGACAAAACTGAACCTGCTTGAACAAAAAGAAAAATATTATCAATAAATAAAAGTACGCCGTGTTTATTAAAATCACGAAAATATCCAGCCATAGGTAAAGCTGCTTATCCAACTCTTATATAAACGCCTGGAGGTTCATTGATTTGACCATAAACTTAAGAAAATATATAAAATATGTAAAAATAGTTACTATTACTATTTTGAATTATTACTAGAGTTCACAATGATCAACTTATGTCAAAAATCACTCATGGACGTATATGAGTAAAGTTTTCAATAAATTCATTTATTGTTAGATTTTTTTGGCTCAAATTGATAACACGTTAAAAAACGATCTCTAATCAAATCCTACTGAAGAGGGAATTTGTAATAATATTGGTTCTATTATATTAAAATAAAATTAATTAACAATGCATTAAATATTTTCACAAATCTTTTTATAAAAAGAATAAGGTCAGAATTCATTTGAATTTTAATGTTATATAAATGTGTTTTATTACGTTATATTTGGTTAATGTGCAATAAAATAACTAAGTTAGTGAATAAATGAAATTCATCTTAAGCTTATGAGACTTAAAAAAAATACTTTTGTGTTATAATTCTAAAGCATTTGAGTTCTATCTACTAGAATTGGAGAGTAAAAAGTTCTTCCGAATGAAGCAACTAATAAATAAAGGACAGAAGTAAGCAGATGCTTTAGATCTGTTTCATGTCATATCAGTATCGTTGTAATTAAATTTTTGATTTTGGTTGGGATTGAATCAAGTGACAAAGGTTGGAGAGTTCTTCGTATACAAAACTTAGAAGCAATTATAACATATAAAATACCAATCACTAGAGAGTGTTTATAAATATCAGCAGTTGCTTGTTAAAAACGTTCCAACAAAGGTGAGTACTTTAACAAAATTAGTTTTAAATTCTTTTTTATTACAATATGGTACGATGAGAGAAACAGTTCTGATTATTGAATGTTGTACAGAGAGTTTCTAGTGTATGTGGGTTGAATGAAGCGTGATTACTTGTAAGTTAACTCGAAACTATTTTTTCTGTTGATACCCAATCGATACTTTTCTTCATTCTGGATTAAACAACAAGTAGAGACGTCACGGCTGGGTGCTATTTACAATAAAATAAGAGGAGAGGTTCACAAAAACATAAAATTGTCTGATTTAGCGAGGGAGTCAGAGGGAGTCAGAATCCCCAATCAAGTCGCTGTTACAGTTGTCATGGCCTGTCTTAAAGTTGGACGTGGATTTCTTGAGTGAGATCCTCGTGGTTGAGATGCGTGGCCAGTTCAGGAGGCGAAGGAGTTATCCATGCAGCTTTCACTCCGACGTAAAGATCGTGCCCACACTACACATCTGGAAAAAGAGCATTCCGGTAGCACACGGCCTGAGGAACAGATGAGTGGAAGAAGTGGGGCGTCGAATTATTTATGAGTTGTTGAAACTCGAGGGCTCCTTCCTCGTACCATGAAGAGGACGCACAAACATAAGGAACGGAAATCGGCACATAATATTATTATTTTGGACGAAGCAAAACGCAGTCGAACGTAAAGCATAGGAATAAGTTGTAGGAAAAGGGAGCAAATTCCAATCCCCACAAGCGGACTAGGCAGGACACTCGACAGCTCTGTACTGTGCCTGGGACGAAATCCGAGGGATGGAGAGAATACACTCCGTACTTTTGTCACTCCCTCACTCCCCCTGCGTTCACCAGCTCATGAGTTTCTGTTGGTTATCGAGAGGGCCCAAGGCGACCGGAACGTGGCACCATGTGATTGGGTGCGGCCAAAGTTCTGTGCCAGAAACGACGTGCACTGGAAGGAGGAGGTTGCGAAGGACACTACATAGTCCTACCTTAGCCTCCTTCCTCATGATGCCGATGTCAGTCCTCAATTATGTCCCGGGACAAGGTCGGAGGCAGCACTGTAAGCTAGAAAATATAATGCCGTCGGAAAGTTGATCTTCAAGTCAGTGGATTACGTGGTATGTCAGGTACTTCGATTACGTGGTATAGTACTGCATCTACGCGATAAGGTGGATCAATCCTAATCCGACACTAATCTTGTCCAGTTCAGACAGTTGGAAAGCTCCTCGCCTTTTACAAGAGGAGTGACTCATACTCTTCATGCATGGAATTGTGGAAATGTGCTCCGAGTAATGCATAGCTCGAACACATATCGAAATAACAACTGAATAATGTCGACAGGGTGTAGAATAGGAAGCTAGGGAAAAGATGTAATTGCAAGTAGAATTGGGTAAGATGGGCCTAGTCTCCGATCACATCACGATAGGAAATATGACATACTGTACCTAACCTGTCCAAACGATCTAATTACAAGATGAGAATCCCAAGAATATGCGTGAACGTGGTTCATATCTTATTCATGCACCAATTATGTAAAACAATGTATACTAACGGACCAGACTATAATATACAGTATGCTAGGGAGATTCATAGCCCTTATAATATGGGATAGTAGACTTTCATTCACTCTCTCACCAGCATGTGGAAGCATCTCATCAAGTCGATGATATCTCATCATATTTAAAATCATTTCTTTTGCAGGTTTGGTTTTTAGCTGCCAAACAAATAAGGACTCGTTTACTTCGTATCCAAGCGAGAATTCTGTTGTGTGCAGATGCTTGGTAAAACCAATAGACATCTGAACGCTATGTGTTGCGCTTGTGTTTGCAATTTACCGCCGGTACTTTGCTTTAGGCCCTCGGGATGAGGCCAATAAATGTATCATAACCACGTCACATCATGATGACGATTTTAAATTGCGGGACGTGTATGGATTTATGAATTTTCTTGCAGGTATTTTTTCGCAGATAGTAGGCCCGGAACGTAGAGTTTATTCTGATGACTTTGAAGACTGGCGCAATCTGGTTGATGGCATAATGCGGCGAGTTAAACATACATATGATACCAGAAACGACTCGATTTTCCAAACTTCATCATCAAAATACACTGGGAAAGGTGCTGCAAATCTAGAGGGCAAGCAACGCAAGACCGACAAGACCCAATGGCTTGGAAAACGGGGAGAGGCTGCGGACAATTACACGGAGGTGCAACAGTGCACAACAGAAAAAGTTTAGGAAAAAGTGTTCAAACGTCAGTGGAAAACTTTGAAAGTTGTATAACGCTGGTAAACATCCGGAGGTAATAGTCTCTTCCAGGTTCAACTTTGACAAATACATATGTGCATATTTCGGAATCAGATTCATTTCTTTATGTTTCCATATCTCGAGATTCATCAATACTTTGTGAAATTAGTAAAGTTTATAGATAATTCTCTTTGGGGGAGTTTTGGAGGAACTAGTAATATAGCAAAAACGGGTGAGATGTGACGCGTTTATATGGTAACGATTTTTCCTTACAAAATTTCTGCCAACAGTCCGGATAGTACGTGGTTGTGTTATTTTATGCTTTAGGAAGATTTCAGAAAATAATAATATTCTTCAAAGCTGCATGTTTGAGATCCCGAGCTGGAGAATAATTCACGTGGGAAGGGTGATCTAACATGAAAACGAGAGCTTTCCAACCTCCAAAACGGCAATTTGTTTCGGTGGGGACTTTACACGTCATCGGACTGGGGAGAAAAAATCTGCACTGTCCATAGTTAAGAACATGATTACACTAAATTAATGTCTGCCGAGTTTTTACCATGTGCAGCAACATGGATATTGGGACTCCATACGAGAATATTCATATCTGCTGTAATCGACGTCATGAGTATCCTCTATCTTCTACTAAAGACACAGTGTGTTTAAAGCAGGAGGCAGAATATGCTATTATCAGTATCAACAGGATCTGCTAACTTTTTCCGAAGCCACAATTTAATCTCCTCATTGGTTTCTTCCGATGAAGTTGGACCCTTAGAATGAAACAGGGAGACAATCACATCTGACGAAATGGAAAAAAGGCGAAATATAACTACTTGGACCGATATTTTTTGGGGACATTCAGAGCAACAACCCGAGAAAGGTGGTGTCCACTGGGTCCATTTAAATGCTGGTCTGATTCATGCGACTGCGATCCTATGTTAGTTGCTGGCAGACAACACATTGCATGACAATCTAACCACTTGAGAAGAACTGTGTGCAACTTTAGCTATCCAGTTGAAGGCACCAGCCCTGATTTTCTGAAGCATGGTTGATTTCAATAGACCGGTGACGGTCTCCTTTCATCTCCGCTGACGCTCACTTACGTATGAATCACAGCGCACAAATGGTGAGGACATTGAAAAGAAGAAAAGAGTGAGGGTATCATAATTACCTCCAACATCCAACATAATCGCTGCTTGGTCGTTTCGCAGTCCTTTTCGAGTCGGGTACACCGCTCGTTAAGACTCTAGAAACCGAATGCTCTACAGACCAGGGATTGAGGGTTCCCACCTTGAGTCGATAAGAAGGAATCCATTCCAAGTTTCAAACAAAATTTGATGTAAGAAAAGTTGGTAACCCCTGATATTCTACCATCGATTTGTTTTCTTGCGTGAGTATTCATCCATCCACGAAGTACAGTACTTGGGGAAAACTGATCAACCATGAGTCCCAATGAGCATGAACTCAACTGTTTTCTGATTAAATAATATATAATAGAATAATTCTAAAAATCTGTTTCGTCTAAGTGCATTGTGGAGAAACTGTAATCCGAAAGAGTGGTAGTGTTCGGTGAGTGGGTACTATCACGTAACAGTTCTGAACAAAAAACTGGTAACCTCCAAAGCAGGGTACATGATCAAAGAGGATCCGCCCCTGGGCCAGCCAGTTCACAAGGGACTGCAAGTCCAGTATGTCTCCTCCTGCGTACACATGCCACCCGAATAAGAATAAGCCCCTACAAGTGATGTAGACATTGCAAATACGGGTATGCTCTCATCTTCAGAAGTCACATCGTCGCATGCCGTTGCACGACCAGTCAAAACTTGTGCGAGTCGGAATAATTCTTCATACGAATCCCAGAAGTTTCAAGATGCAGCAGGAGTCGGTGAAACAACTTGAAAATGAAGGAACGTGAGAAAGTCGAGTTGACGTTTCATGGCGTTGGAACGTCCTGAATCTTGCCATCCATCCATCCATCCATCTTTACATGTCCTGCGATGGAGTTCGGAGCCGTGCAGCGATGGCGATCGATCGCTGTCAGACGAGAGAGAGAGAGAGAGAAAGAGAAAGAGAGAGAGGGCGACGGGGCCACTAGAGAGATGCTCCACCACGTTACTGGAGAAGCGTCCGGGGAGTGCATGCGCGGTTAATAAGGGTAGGACAACGGAAGAACCTTTCAGTGCGAAGAGGCACTGTCCGTGCGAAGGGAAAGGGAAAGGGAAAGGAGGACTCCGAGGACTCCGAGGACAGGGACTTGGAAGGGAAGGGAGCTCGCTCACAGATGTTCCATTGCAGAGCAGTGCCAAGAGGAAGAAGAGCAGGAGCAGGAGCAGGAGCAGGACGGGAGCCTAAACCTCTGTGCTCGTTAGTTTGTGTCTGTCTAAGGGGCGGGACGGGACGGGACACTGGGCCTGGCCCTGTGCATCAATCGGTCCTCCCGAGCGAGAGCCCTGTTCGGAGTTCCAGCACGAAACGGAGCAGGCCCGTGTGCCTTTCTTTGCTTGTAAGGGAGGGAGGCCCCGGGAGCACGGAAGGACGGGCGGAAGAAACAAAAGCAGAGAGGGCGGAGGGAGAGGAGAGGCATCAGAGAAGAAGCAGCAGCAGCGGCAGCAGCAGCAGAGGCGGAGGAGGACGAGGAGGGCCGGTCCTTTAAGCCGGAAACAAACACGCAAGCTAAAGCAGCAAGGCACGAAGGAAGTGGGAGAGAGGGAGGCAGGGAGGGACGGAGAGAGGGAGGGTGCTTATCTATCTATCGAGAGGTGGCTCCGTGTTTCAGAGAGCGGCGTGCATCGGAAGAAGGGAGACCAGTGTGCTTCTCAGAGCGTCCCTACTCCTGATCTGTTTGCGAGTGCAAGGCCAGGCAGTTTTTGTGGTGTTTGCTGTGGTTGCTTTTGCGTTGGTTTCTGGTCGATCTTCCAAGAGCGATTGGTTGTGTGTGTGTGCGAGCGTGCGTGTGTTGATCATAGGAGATTGCCGGAGAGGTTTGGGGAGGCAGGTTGAGTGGTTGGGAAGGAGGGAGAGAATGAGAGGGTAAGGGCCGGTGGAGTGCGATCAATGGAAAAGAGGAGAGTTTACATTCGGGGGACATCTCAGCTGCCCCTGCCTGCGCCGAAATTCTCTTGATTCGCGCCAGATTTCTGTGTAAATTGACTCTGCGAGCAGATCATTCACGAGTTAGGGTTCGTGAGCGAGGCGTTGTGGTTGCTCCGAGTTTAGTTGGCCTGAGAGCGGTCGTAAGGCGTGAGGAGAAGAGGTGTCACCGAGGTTTGAGGAGATTTTCTGTTTGCTGATTGCCAAACCTGTAATTGTTGTGCGGGCGTATTGTCTGGAAGTAGCACCATGTCTTCCCCAAGCAAGCGGCGCGAGATGGACGTCATGAAGCTGTAAGTTTTGCCGGACAGTCGGTTTCCGTGGCTAACTCTTCGATCTCGCTACGAAATACTACCTTCTGTGCAGAGAGATCGTCGATGAGACAGCAATTGACGTAATCGCTCTCTAAATTGCTCTGGGTATCTGGGGAGAGCGTATGAAGCTGTTAGTTTTACGAACCCAGTCGGTTGTGTGGGCCTAGTCTTCGATCACTATTGAACTCCTACATTTCTACTGCAAGGTGGTTGATTAGCCGCTGATTGACATAATTGAGCGGTCAAACGCTCTGGATATTTGTTCAGGGGTCATAGTTTTAATAAGTCGGGCACCACGCACCAATTGCGCAAGCGAATTTGTCTGATGATCTTTATCTGTTATTTGCTCCTTGATTCATTCTTCCACGATTCTCTCGATACATCAGGATGATGAGCGATTACAAGGTGGAGATGGTCAACGACGGGATGAGCGAGTTTTATGTGGAGTTCCACGGTCCAAGAGACAGTAAGTTTTGAATTCGAAGTTTACTCTTCTTTGTGGAAGTGGTAGTGAGATGATTAATTGTGAAGCTACGGTTTCAGTATACTGAACCACCGCACGAGGTGGAAATTCGTTTTCCTTTTGAGGATCAAGGATGCAGCTGCGGTTATTATCTTACGTTTTGCTTGGATCCTCAAGGAGTCTGTTTGTCCACAATTCCATGGGTAGATGTGGGATTATGTTTGAGAAATGTGACTTGAGAGCTAATGTCTAGCTTCCTATAAACTTTGGAAACCTTGACTGCGTCGCGGGGAGCTTTGACAACAAAGTTTTTGCACTTCCAGTTGAGAAATCTCCAAAAATTATCCTTTATAATCTCATGCTTATTATAGGAGAGTAACCATGTAGTGGAAATGAATACTAGATTGATACGTACCTTCAAGAGATCAACATCCTATGATATTAAAAACATCAAAAGATCACGAAGACAACCTTAGTATTGTCATTGAGAGCGGAATCGTATGTATGTTGTCTTCTGAATTGTAGCCATCTATGAAGGCAGTTGTAGCTTTTGGCAATAACTTCAACTTTTACTCTTAGAAGGAAGAGTGGGTGCAATATTATGTATGTTGTTTTCTGATTTATACCCATTTATGAAGGCATTTTCAGCTTCTGATTATAGCATCCATTATCGGTTTACAGAAGTAAAATGGTTAAGTTTTCGTAGGGAGCATGTTTGTGGTTGGGTGAGATGGTTTAGTTTTTGTAAGGAGGAAGATTGCTGTCGGGCATGTGATCTTGAGAGTGCAAACTCCAGTAGTACGAACTAAAGTATGCAACGCTCAGCTGAGGAGCATGTTTGTGGTTGGGTATGATGGTTAAGTTCTTGTAAGGAGAAAGTTTGTTGTTGGACATGTGAATCTGAGAGTGCAAATTCCAGTAGTACAAAGTAGAGTTCGAAATGGTCAGCTGAGCGGATCGCCGTCCGTGTGGAGTGGAATGGTCAAAGATAAAATATCAAAAAATAGAGTTTGAAATGCCTACCCGGGGTTAAGAGTTGAAAGTTTAAGATATAAATGCTAAGCACTAGATTTTTTAGATCCTCAGCTGAGACAGGTTGCTGGTCTGTGGTCTTGGAAGGTTGGGAGATAAAACACTAAGGACTAGAGTGTGAATGCTCAGCTGAGCAAGTGTAGACTTGAAAAGTTCAAGAGATATATTACTGAGTACCAGGGTCTGAAATGCTCAGCTGAGCTAGAGCACGGGGTCTGTGTTCTTGAATGTTCAAGAAGTAAACAAGGACTGGAGCTTGAAATGGTCTCAACTAGCTGAGTCAAGGGCTCTGGGTCTGGACACTCATAGCTCTAGAGATAAATACCACGAACTAAAGTTTGACATGCTCCATCGAGAAGAGCGTGGGAGCGCTTGCGATCTTGAAAGTTGAAGAGGAGGTAGATTTCAAAGACTCAGCTCAGTTGAAACCCTTAACTGAGTTGAGTCAGGGCGGGGGCTCTGTGATCTCGAAATTCAGTAGGTAAATTTCAAGTACTAGAGCTTGGGATGCTCAGCCTTGCTAGTTCGCGCTACATGGCCTTGAAAATGCGAAACTATCGAGGATGGAAGTTTGACATGCTCTCGCAAGGCGCGCGGCTTATTATTCTTGAAACTATCACAAACCACTCAACGTGCAGTTTTGGCCCACCATGCGTCTAGCTGTTAGTTTTACGTAGAGAAAACTAATCGCATTATCCTAACAGATTTCATGGACCTGAAGTATGCAATGTACGATAGCTAGTATCAGTGTGTATAACATCGTTCAGAGCAGGTTCCTCCTCTTCGAACTCAAATGTTCACTCTCTACGTGCAATTCACTTTGATTCTTATCCTATCACCTGGCTTTGCACTACACCCTGTATCACCTTTGCTTTGGGGTTTTGCTCTTGTGACGATGTTTGCTAGCAGTCAAACATGATGTGAAAGTTCGTCCTACAAACGTACTCGGAGACGTTAAACATAATAATGGTTTGCAGCCAAAGAGGTTGCATTTATTCCTGACAATGAACTTGCCCATATTTTTTTTCTGAGCGTTCTATGCTTGCAATATTTTCATCTTTTCATTATATTTTTAGTCAGATTTTAAATGTGTAAATCTTATTTGCTACTTCGACATCAAGTTGGCGGCTTATGCAGTTGTGTTATAGCTGTGAAGTTGTTTTATTGTGTCAAACTCGCGCTATTTTGCAGTCATGTTGCTGGCCAACTGTATATGACTCTTTTGGTGTGTATGGCTCAAACAGACGCAAATTGCTCTGCAATCACGACTCCTCGTTAAACGCGTGTATATTTTGTTTTCGCTTTTTATCCTTGATGACTTACCTTGCTATTAAAAGTTCTGATTTGTGGTTAGGGATATGTGTTCGTGACTCTGGTTAACAAGAAGCAAAGAAATATGAGAGTTTGGTTGCTACTTTAGTTCTTGATTGAGGATCTACGTTACCTCGACTACGGCTAGAGTGGACATTCTGTAAGACTAGATCCATTTCTTCTATCCCCATCGTTTCTGTTTTGTTACCTTATCATGGGTGTGAGACATAGGAGGAATATTGGTTAGAGAGCTTCATTGGCGAAGCTGCTTGATAGATTTAATCTCCATGGCCTCTTGTGGTCATGGAACGCCATAGTTGCCATTTGGAGAAAGGGTTGTTCAGGTGTTTCCATTTGAGCGAGAAGCTTTTGATCGATAGATGACAACGATCCATCAAGAGTGTGTTACCCATTCGCGCGTTTCACGCGTATATGCCACACATACCGTAATGCTTACACCAAGGCACAAATGCTTGAAATATTCCCCGAAACATGTGGTCACATGTTACATGACTGTTTGGGGACGGGTAGTGGTGATTTTGGTTTATTTGTTGTGAATTATCTTATACTAAGGCTGCATCCAAATATAATATGAAAGATCTCAACCAGCCTCCGAGGGACCACAATACATGACCTTGTGTTGATAGAGTTGTCTGCTTGAAGAATGGCCGAAGTACCCCATTTCTCAAAATCCCTTCTTTCTCGACAGGTGTCAAATGTCCTGATAATCAGGAAAGGTAATAGACACGAATTATGGCTAAAGACCAAAATTTTTTACACGGGAGAAAGACCTTGCTGTAGTCATGTTTTTAGCTTGGTCGGAATTCCGCCCTTCAAAACTTTCCAACTTCAATCGGGATGGGAAACATACTAATGAGGATGTGTGCATTTGATTGGGTTGTTGTGCATTTCTTGTATAGGGCATTTCTTGTATACCGTGCACATCGAGTTTCACCTGGATGATTGATGTCTTTGATAGGGTAAAGTCCTTATTCAGTGGAGATAGGTACTACAATGTGATGAATACACCGGAAAATGCTTATGTGGATTTGTGAAGGCATGATGTCATGCACTAAGGGTTCATGGCCTAAAATTACTTAGAAGAGATGTTCTAGTTGTTTTTAGTGCACCGAGTTTCTTATTCAGCCCGTGAGAAGGAGAGGTTTACTTCACTAAGTTCAATCTACGTCTTTGCAGGTCCTTATCAAGAAGGAACATGGAAAGTCCGCGTTGAGTTGCCTGACAATTATCCTTACAAATCACCCTCCATCGGCTTCGTCAATCGAATTTTCCATCCCAACGTGGACGAAATGTGTGTAACCACTGCACTATCGTATAATCTTTCGGGACATTGTTGTTGTGCATATCATCTAGCTTGTGCCGGAACTGCTGTTATGAACATTTTTTTTTGGTTCTTCTGGAGTTTAACACAGTTCTTAATGTTGCTGCTGCCAACCATCTTAGCTCATAAACAGTCTAGCTCTATGGTCGATCATACAAAGGAGTTGATAGACGATTGTGGATGTCAGGGTTTTATGATGTGTGCTGACCATCTGCAGTAGGTCGCAGAGTTCACCCAATGTTCCGGAGTAATGTGCAAGGTAGGATTCTTGATGTTGGTAGTATATGTGCTAGGTTCTTTGAAATTGTTTTCCTCATGTCGAGAGTCGGTATATTGTCGATGGCTTTGGAATCAGAGATCCTGAAAAGTAGAAGTCAACTCCGGCTATGCAATATGTGTACAGGTGGAGTGAAGTAGAACATGTTGTTCGGATCTTGGGCCAATCTATTGTGTTTTAGCTTCTCCGTAAAAGTTATGCACAGATGTCAGCGTCTCTCTCTACAATGACATATCATGTTTGCGTCTGGGGCATTATTGTGGTTTGTTCTTTGAATCTTGAACGTACAGAAAGTGCTGGCTCCGAGCCTCCAGTGCCATATCAGTAACAAAATTACAGACGTGGAGAGAATTCAGGGAACAGACCTAGGCATATGAAAATTGAATTATTGAAGGGCTTCGTAGGATGTCCATCGTAATAATTTTCCACGTATAAAAGTTTTGGTCAAGTACTTTGCAACACCTCTGTGGCGAAACGTTTCAGCATTGGTGATTTCTTTCTCTTTATATTCCTAGAATTCGTGCAGTGACTTTTGGTTGCGACGAGAAAAATTCTACTGCAATTTTGTGTTTTCCAAGCAATTTGTCGTTGCGATTGGGGTGCACGGAATGACCTCTTAAGCTGACGAAATATTTGATCTTCAAAGATGTGATAATCTTGCACTTTAAGGGTAGGCTTTGACGGAAGTGTGATTCTTTAACACAGGTCTGGCTCAGTCTGTTTGGATGTCATCAATCAGACATGGAGTCCGATGTTTGGTAAGTTCGCTTGTTGATTAAGGTGTACTCTTCTAGCTATTGTTCTGGTGGAATACATCAAGTTGTATGTATGTATATGGAGTCTGTCAGGCTTCAAGTCCTGGACGCATAGCTCAAATGTTTGAACTGCTTTATCTATTATTCCTCGGGTTAGTAAATTCTTGTTTACTGGATTTCAGATCTTATCAATGTCTTCGAGGTTTTTCTTCCGCAGCTGCTCCTCTATCCAAATCCTACGGATCCTCTGAATGGAGAAGCTGCCGCTTTAATGATGCGTGACCGAGAGCATTACGAGCAAAAAGTGAAGGGTAAGTTATATTACTATCTGTTATCAAGTGTACTCAACTCAGGGAAAAGTCAACGACATGGATCAAACAAGACATATTTCAGTACCTAACAAACTCTGTTCCTGGAGGTAGTCAGCAAGGTTTGTGAACTTATGTGCTTAGAAAATGTCCTTACAAAAGATCCTGCGTGTAGTAGCACTCGCGAAACTGGTCATAGGAGAGAAAGCACTGGATGAAGGTCCCTCTGCTCCTTTCTACAAGTTTCATCTACAACCGGAACTTAGCAGAAATGTTTCGTGGGTTTTGAAAACCCACGGGTCATGGAAAGGCCTTCAAAACGAGCCGATTGTTCAGGTTCGCTGTTTGTTGTTGCGGTGTTGACCGTATGCATTTCGTCGATACAAGAACCATACGGCTGATGGTAGGTTTGATGTGGGGTTGCAGAGTACTGCGAAAGATATGCTAAAGCTGAGGACGTGGGAAACCGGCCAGAGGAAGAGAGTAGTGACGAAGAAGTGAGCGATCAAGAGTATATGTCCAGTGATGAAGAAATGGCTGGCCATGCCGACCCTTGAGATTTTTTTTCTTAACGCTTTTAGTAGGCATCGTATTTCAAAGTGGGCTCAAGATGTGTGCTATTGGTCCTTTTAGACTTTATTGCTTAGAGACCCAAAATCGGCCTGTGAAATTGGCTCCCTTTCGGTTTTCAGCAAAGTGGAGCCGATTAAGTCACAGCTCTGTGGGTCTCCTTGTGGGCGACCGTGCTAGCGATTTGAAGGCATGCCCAATTGTACATACCATTTCGGGCTGTAAAGAGCACAGCATGGTCACCTCCCTAAAATCTACCTCAAGTGGTCTGTAATTTGTGTACCTTTTGCTTTGATACCAGCCTCCCAGTGATGAACTAATTAATTCTTTCAACTCAAGGGAACGTCGGTTGTGCGTGCAGAGTTTATGAAGTTGAAGATTACGGACAGTTGAACTCATCTTTATGTACGGAGCTAAATGCGATCGGTCTTGCATTCTTGGGTATCATAATCGAAGAAGGATTCCTGATGTCTAGAGTAGAGTTTAGCGTGAGAACATCCAGGCCGCACACATTATTATCGAAAGGAAAGAGCGCATTTCCTTGTTTCCGAAACATGGACTAAGCGAGGGCCGCGGGAGAACAAGGTGGGCTAAAAATTTTACTCCTGTAAGGTGCCAACATGAAGGGTACGACAAGTATCGCGTATGTTTTCTAAGAACTTGCTCACCGTTGTGGAGACACGGTTTAGATCGACGCAATTCAAAGATGCGACTCTGAAGGATGTACGTCAGTACACGCAAAGAATCTGTGGGTGAATATCGAGCATGGTAAGGTCTTCTAGGCATCGGGTTTCCCTCACATCCTTCTTTGGGGGAAACTATCACACTTTAAAGCCATAATTTGACAAGGTAGCAGAATGCAAGCCGGAATCGCCCACTTGAAGCGGATGGATATGGTATGTTCGGCCACTACGTAGAATTTCGCTGACGCTTATCTTGAGATAGCGCTTGTAAAATAAGAGTTGCTAATAGACTGCCGTAGTGGTGCCTTCGCATGATGTGGTGAAGACTCAACGCGAAAATCTTCCGACGCCGTTATGTAGCGCTGAGGTGCAAGAGCTCCAGATATCTAAAGACTAGAATCGAGCGTATTCACCAAAAATCAAGCCTGCTTGGCAGTCCTGGCCTTGTCTTTTGTCTCTGATGTCTTTGGCCATTTCCTTGGTATACAACTTTCTCTCTGTTGCCGTTCCGGAGACTTATATTTCGTCCTTTCTCTCACTTGTGGGCATGCTTTCCTTCACCTACCTCGCCTTTCCTAATTGTACATTCGTGCTTGAAGTTTTGTAACTCTGCATTCTCCCAGTCCTCCCTATGTTAATGTTGATTCTCAACTGTGCATAATATATCTAGCAATCGTGATTCTAATCGGTTTTTGTGTTCTTGTTCAGTTTTTCTTCCCTCGGTTCTGTATTTTTTATGGACAGCAACCTCATGACCGTGATCTCCTTCGTCCTGCAAAAGAGTAATCTACTCCGGGTAAGAAAAATAAATGCAGTACACAATTTGATGGGTTCGTGTTTTATTTATTGCACGCTCTGTCACCGGTTTGGGATATACACTGTGGTCTTGGTTAGTTCCGTGAGGACTTCAATCTGATATCTTACGGTGTCAAATTTATGGGTATGGATAGTAGGACTGCGCAATATAACACCAAATGTATTATACAACCCTCATTTGTAGATTACCCTTGTTCATCAACTCTTCCACCTCGACTCAATGCGATCAACCTTATCAATGCTAACATCACTAGCATACTCCTAGACGAGTTCTCTTCATGTTCAATTTCATATCCATTGTAAGGGTAGAGCTTTTGCAGTCACTTTCAAATCTTTGTATACGTTACTTGTTGAAGAGATTTGACTATAGAGTTGTTTCGAATTGCATAGAATGTATCTCCCTCCTTTGTTTTAGAAATTTGATTATCAAGCTGTTTTGAATTGAATAAAGGTACTCGTTTCTATCTTTTGGTTGCCTAACCGAGTTCGTGAGCGACTATGAACGCTTTGGCTGTCTTGTGTTTGAGGTTATACTCGCTTGACCTGTAGGATTTTTGTTCAATGCAAATAGATAATCTTTGATGGTGATGTAGTAATTATCTTCAGATAAGGTACATAAATCCTACGGCTTGAAGATGATGTCGATGAAATCATCATCTTTGTACTTTGTACGCACAATGAACATGACGAATTCGCTAAAGAGTTTTCGCCGGAGTTCGTAATGATCATTCGTGAGATAGTTGAGAATGGCTTTTGATTGTTGATTGAAGATTTTTCTAGTTGCGAGAATTCTTAGCTAAACTTTGTCACTAGCCTAGTGTGCATGGATGTGAATAATGAATCCATACCAAATGCCAGAACATGTAAGTACATTAAATTGAATCATCGTTACAATCTGTTTGATATCATTTTCAATCAAATCCAATACGTCATTGACATTGGAATCGAATGTATTGGTGGAATTTGATTGCCACGAAGTAAACATATATAGTAGAAAATGTTGTTTCATCTCCTTCCAAATATGTTAAATATGAGCACATTGTCTTAAAATATGAATCCATTGTACATAAGTACTTCCAAAAAAACTGATTTGTAACCAAAGCTTTATATTTGTTGCATATATCAATGTTATAATCTGTGTTAAAAGTCTTGCTTGACAATATGCACATACCGGTATTGGATTCTTTTTAAAAAGAATGATGACGTAGTTCTTTTGATATTTTTCAATGCATAACTTGTTGAACAACGTAAACAAAAGATGATCGACTTTAAGGTATTGATTATAAATAGTATATTTGTTCTAAAACACAATTTATCCATGAAAGCAGTTTGCACAAATCCATGCAAAGTTTAGGAGTATATTTGTTCTAAAACACAATTTATCCATGAAAGCAAATTGCACAAATCCATGGAAAGTTTATGAATTGCATGAGATGCCCAATATGAATTAGTTTGACTTGCACAATTTAATCATGATGCTTGATGAATCTTTGCAAAAGCAGAACATTGGTGAATTAACGAAGTGTTCATTCTTGATGGAGTGGAATACTTCTTCACTTTGCTATTCTTTGATTTCTGTTGTCTTTTTACTTTGTCTCGATAAGACAAAACAAGAAATAAAGTTACAATTTCTTTTCAAAAGGCGCAATTTATAATCCAAAACCTTCTTCAACAAATTCATTTCACTCTCTACACAAAAATGTTCCAAAAACATTTTACAATGGTTTTAATGAACAAGTCATCAAGTTGATCAACTTCTCCAACATATTCATAGCATGCTCTTTACCAATTCAATTGTAAAATGTTCTAAGAACATTTTACAATTATTTTGGTCAAAAAACCATCAAGTTGATCACCTAGTTAGCCTACACATTTATGACGCAGTCTAAGGTAACGCAGATCAATCACACCTTGTTGACTAAGAGAAAAACATCATTCATTACATATAAGCGGGCCTCCTTAGTCTACTCGGATGTCTAAATACCTTAATTTAGTCACAATTTAGACCTCGTTTAGAATGTGTGTAAATGTGAACCTTATTGAACATTTATAATGCAAATTTGAGCAGTGATTTGAATTGCTCAAATAACTTACACTACTTTGACTGTAACACGCCAAAATCAGACATGTTCTTGCGGAATATATGTTTCTCTCATCCATCATAGCATGAAAAAATCCGACTTCAACGTGCTCGTACCAAAAATAAGATAATCAATATTTCATTTTCCATCAAATTTAAAAATTTCGCATCCAATTAATCTTCAATCATCCTTGAAGGTTGATCGACTAGACAATGCATTGATGCTTTGCTAGCAAACGAGTTCAAACAAGTAAGCATGAAGTAGGAGCTTAAGTTTATCGGCAATGACATCATTATACTCTACCGAATAACGATGCTATAGTCGGTATATAGATTGGCAGACCATCCAAATAAGCTTAATAGCCAATAGTTTGACGAGCTCGTGCGATAACACAAAAGAAATAGAAAAAAAAGTGACCAAAGTTTTCTTGTCTGCATTGAAAAAGTGGGATATTTCACTAATTCGATTGCAGTAATGACATAAACAAAAGCAGTGTCGTTCCAAAGTTTGCTTCACTAAACTTGAATGTTAAGAAAATTGTAAAAATGATTTTGATGTTATGAGATACTATGGGGATCAAGTATCATCAAGGTAGCATTCAAGAGAAGATGAAGAATTATACACATATATCACGTTTTTTTAATGTCTAAGAATAAGCTTTCCTTAGATTTAGGTTTAATAAATTTTTTTGCTATATTTATAACTTCAATTTTGAAAAAATTGATAAATTTGACAATTTTTCTTTACAATCTAAAAATAATAAACAATAATCCTAGTGCAAAGATTTTATGAATATAATTTAAATCTCTTTGAAAGTGATAATTATTAAGATGAAGATTATGATTTAAAGATTATGAATTACACTAATGATGATTTAAACAATATTGACATTAATCATTCTTAAAAGTAATAAAAATATGAGATAATTAAATTGTTAAACTCAACACAAATTTTTCATATTTAATGATCATATTAAATGAGATTTTGATAAGTTCATATTCAAAAAATAACTAGCATGAAAAAATTAATAAATAAAAAAATATATTTCAATTCTTGAAAAAAGTTTCAAGACAAATCACCGTTTATCTGTAAAAATTTATCAAGGTTTATGTATATTTTTTAATAACTAATTTTGAAAAGTTTAATGTAGAAAAGGATGAGTTGTTTAAAGATATAGTGTGAATTAGTAGATATGTTATATGCAACTCATTAAAAATGTTGATAATTAATGAATTCTGGATAATGCTTTTTTTTATTATCTTTATTAAGTTATTTTATACATATTTTTTATACCAAAGACTTAATTCGTAAAGAAATGTTTTCAATCTTGTGGTATTGAAAATATTAGATTTAACAAGATTTAACTGTTTGATCACATTTTAAACTTTGTTACAAAATTTTTTAAAGTTTTTCAATCAAATAGTGTTAAAGGAGAAGCCTATTTAGTTGAGTGACTCTAGTTCATAATCAAATAGTGGATTGAAAACTTATTTCTGAATTTTTTTAATACATGTTATCAAAATTTTAAAGCTGATTGAATTATATAATAAATGAATGCTAATTATATTTATTTATAAAAATGTTATTTTAAAATATCAATTTATCATGAGTAAAATGATCTGGTTGAGTTTTACATTCAAAATTGTGTTTTTTTAGAACATGCAATTG